TAATCGTAAGTTACTTCATTAAAATTCCGCTCAAAAATATCTTTAAATATACTCGAACAAAAAAATTTTTGTTCGACGCAAATAGCCCTAGCTACATGCAAAATCGCTCTTGGACGACGTAAAATTCACATCGCCTGACGCTTTATCGCAAGGCCTACAATACATTTAAACATTTAAATGTATTTACGAAACATTTAAAAATTGTTTATAGTTCTATCGTGAATTTTAAAGTATTACTGACTGATAAAAGTCATAAACAAATTTTACATTAAAAATGTAAAATTTGTTTTCATTAAATCTTTTATTTTCATTAAACTATAACCTTTTTTTTTTTGATTTTATTTTTCTTATTGATTTGATTTTTCATAGCTAAAATAACTACCACCCTGAAAAAATATATATATAAATAAATAAAATATAGGTAAAATTTTTTTTTAATAATATACATTAATAATATATACATATATATATATGTGTATATATATGTATATATATATATATATATATACATATATATATGTATAAATATATATATACATATATATATATATATATACATATATATATATATATATATATATATATATATATATATATATATATATATATATACATATATATATATATATACATATATATATATATATATATATATATGTATATATATATATATATATATATATATATATATATATATATATATATAAGGATATGTCACTTTAAACAAAAATGGGGTCACTGGGGTGTACTCTTGTGATCGTAGGGTGTACCTAAGGGTAACTAAAATAAAAAAAAAACAGTAGCCCGGCAGGACGACTAGACAGTTTGTTACTTGCAAAAGTGTGTTTAATTATAAAAAAAAAAAATATTTTGACCAATGAAGATTTTATTTCTTGCGATTATTTAAAAAAAAACTTAAAAAAAAAGTGTATACTACTTTAAAAACTGATTAAAGTAGTATACACCTCGTTTAATAATGAGTAAGTTATAAAATTTTATTAAACTTTCAGCCACCACATGGTTTTTTATTTCGAAGTGCGATTGTACTGTTTTTGTTGCATTTTTAGGCACATTTTTTCTTAATTTAAAATGAGTTTTAAAATAACATATTCTTTTAACTCCAAATGCTAAAGTATCATTTTTTAAACCTTATACAGGGGCGCACAGAGGGTAGAGGGTCCGGGTTGGCTTCCCCCGGGCAGCACATTATATGGCATCATCAGCAGGCGAAAAAAAAAATTATATATGCTCAATAAATAATTTGAAATGTCTAATAAAGAAATGAAAATGGTTTATAGTGATATTATATTTCGATTTTCTTTTATATCTAATTCAATTTGATTAAGGGGCTATCCCCCTACAAAAAATTGATTTTTTTTAATTTTTTTAAACTGTATAGATACAAAAAAAACTATTTTATTTGTATCAAATTAAACTTAATTATTTTAAATTGTCACTTTAATTAAGCTGTCTTAATAAAACCCCAAGCAACGCCGATAGAAAAGCAATCCAAATATTTAATTCCACCCAAAATTTTGTTATAATTGCAATTTACAAGCCTGAACTGACTCTTGATAGATTTTTCTAGAACAAATGTACACGTTGGTACATCAAGTAGGAAAACTTCAATCAGTTTTAACAATATTTTAAACTTGTTTTTGTGAGTAAAAAAGAGAAAATCATCTCGAGTGAAGTTTAATTATGCAATCATTATAAAATATTTTTCTAATAGGAAGTCTTCTTAACTTTATGAATAGTAAAATATAATGAATCGGAAAATATAGAATCGTTAACAATAAAATGTAGCTAGCAGCACTAATCTTTCTGAATCAATCAAACCGACAAAAATTATTAGCTTTATATCACAAAATAGAAAACAGAGAAGAACTACTTAATTCAAAACCTGGTATGTTGCTGTGTTTTTGTCTGTTTTTAGTTTATTTCTATGCCCACTCTGGACTCCATAATGTAGCTGTTCCCCTCTGATAAGATGAAAGAAATACTAAAACTCATGGTTTATCTTCTTTACTATATCAAAAAAGAACAACTATCTACATCAGTTCTACGCCACTAACTTCGAATATAATGAAGGATTTAATTTCAAGCACACAATTTATTGCATGGGTTTATAGAACCATAGAAATGCAGATATAAAAAAGTTTTCTTCAAATTTGAATTGACCAAACCCTATTACCAAACTATACATTACAAAACTATTTTGAAAGGCTTATGAAAGTGATTCAAGTCAAATCATCAAGTAAAACTGTAGTAGAACAAATAATTATAAATGCTGTAATTTAAAAAAAGACGATATTTGTGTATCTTATGACAAGATGTAATTAGATTAATTAGGATGATGCATATAATAAACAATATTCAATGCTGAACGGAATCTTCTGTATTATATATTGTCGCCGCAAAGCATTTGATGTAATAGTGATTAATGGCCTTCAAAAGTAGATGTAAAAGTGATTCAAATCATTTAAAGCAATTTAAATTATGATCTATCTGCATATGCAGAACTGTTATATATTTTTCTATAATATTTTCAATAAGAGTTTACCACATTATACTCTGTGAAATGAATGGAAAGGATTTTATTTTTTTTGCTTAAAAAAAAAAAAGACCTAAAATCAATGAAATTTTTAACCATGATCTTTGATCGCGCCATGGTGACAAAACATGAAAATTCTAATCCATTCATTTCATAGCCCTACTTTATGACAATATTGTGGTAAATTTTGGAATGGTAAATATGTACACATTTTTTTGTTTTTTGGCTGAATAGCTGTTCCAATCATGTGAGAAAAATACAAACCACATATATAAAACCTTTTTTGTTTCATTTTGTGTAGACATATTCATATTTCATATATGATATATTCTTATCATTTATTTTAGTTTTTAGATATGAAATGAAAAACCAACAAGTCTTCATCCAATTCTTCTGCTGAACAGAAGCAGATTACGGAACGATTTCAATTTCTGAAATAGCAATGCGGATTATTTTCCTTAATCTGGACTACAACTGACACCGATTCGGAATCGAACAACGCTCAAGAATCGAAAGTAAAAGATCTCGTTCTTCTGTATCCAAATGATCTTTGTGAAGACGAATTTCTGAAAGAGTTCCGTCACTTTTCATCTGTTGGACGCTATATGTTGACAAACAATCTGCCATTAGATCTGCTGAATAGCATTTACGTGTAAGGATTTGAAAGTAATTTCCCTCAAATATGCATCTGCCTTCAAATCTTTCTTACCTTGCCAGTATCTGTAGCTAAAGGCGAGAGATCTTTTAGCAAGCTTGCTTTGATCAAGAACTTTCTAAGAGCTAAAATGGGACAGGATTGTCTTAACCACTGTCTCATCCTTTCCATCGAAACAGATCTGGTAAAGAAAGTGAATTACGATGTTGTAATTTCTAACTTTGCTGCTAGGAAAGCTCGTAAAGTCTTGGTATAATTTCCAAAAACTTTATACCAAATACAGAAGTATTCTTTGTTGTGCTTAATTTAATAAATTCAATCAAACATCAACAGCAAGACTGTTGATGTTTGATTGAATTGCTTGATTTGTGAGATGTCTTCAATACAGAATTTTAAAAATATTATTTGTGAATACTTAAGTGCTTTATTATTTTTTTTTTTTTGGTGAAAGTTGGGTAGGAAAAGCATACGAAGTCTCTGTGCGCCCCTGACCATATAGTCACATTTTGAATAACGTGAATAGGCAGTTGAATTTTTAATAACACTGAATTTCTTGTATTTTTCATTAGTAAAATAAATTTTTGTTTTTAACTTTGAAAAAACAAAATTAAAAATATAAAAAATATTGTTAAGATGCACATGAAAAATCATAATTAGAAAAAACAAAATAGAATGAAAATTAAGGATGGAAATGGAAATTCTTTTTTAGCAAAAAAAACACATCTTTTTATTAATAAACAACATTCAATTAAATTAAATTTGACTGAAGATTGAAAGAGAATAATAAAATGTTTTTCTTTTTATAAAATAGAAAAACATTTGGCGGTTTTGACTGTTAACTTTTTTGCTTAACGCAATGAAACCTTTTCAAGAGTGGTGTACCCTCCACTTTTAAAAAATTGGAGGGTACACCACTGTGTTTATATATATATATATATATATATATATATATATATATATATATATATATATATATATATATATATATATATATATATATATATATATATATATATATATATACACCATATATACATATTTATATATATATATATATATATATATATATATATATATATATATATAACACCACTGTGTTCGGCAATTTTTGTTTCGAATCGACAATCAATGTGTGACTTGTCACAGTCTGTGGAACATTATTTATTCACTGAAAATACTATTATGGATTGTTTTCATCAGTTTAACATTGAATAAGCTGTACATTTATTATTTGTATTGGTTAAAAGTGAAAAGAGTATTAAATTAAAAGAAAAAAATAGTGGTGATCGTAAGTCTTATACTGCTGATTTAGGTGAGCAATGTAATGTCATACTGAAATAGCCTTCTACTGGAAGCTTCAGTACATACATCGCCTGACAAATAGTCTGACTCACAGCGGAGTGCTGCTACATCGACTGAGGGACAGCAATCATTTTATTATTCTTTTTTTTTTTTCTTCTCTTTCTAAAAAAGCTGTATCCATTTAGATAAGCAATAAAAATGAGCATATATATATATATATATATATATATATATATATATATATATATATATATATATATATATATATATATATATATATATATATATATATATATATATATATATTTGTGTGTGTGTGTGTGTGTGTGTGTGTGTGTGTGTGTGTGTGTGTGTGTGTGTGTGTGTGTGTGTGTGTGTGTGTGTGTGTGTGTGTGTGTGTGTGTACTACAGTCATATACGCTTTAATTAAGTTAACTATACGCTTTAATAAAGTTAACCTCCATAAAAAATTTTATTATTTTTAAATACCTCAGAATTAGCAATCATCTCATAAATTTTCCTTGCAGAAAACCCACATTCCATAGTCAAACATGTGGAAGACCATGATTTCTTACAAGTAATAATGACCATGTCTGCCTGAAAAGTTTGTAATATAAAAATTTTACAAAATGAAAACAAAACCCTCAAAGATTAGCATTTTTTATAGTCTCAATTTTTTAAAAATTAATCTTTTATACTAATATTTCTGGAATATTAGTAAAAATTTTGTAAATCAATAATAAAAAATAATTGAAATTTTTTTAAGTTCCGAAATTGTTTAGCGCAAATTTAATAAAATAGTTAAAATGCAAAAATTTTGTAAGGATTGATATTTGTTATTCGACAAAAATCTAAACTTGCCGACGCATAGTAACAAGTTATTTTCGAGAAAAAGATACATGAAGAAACTTAAATGAAAAGTGATCAATTTAACTTTTTCTGCACTATATGTAATTCGCTGTTGCTACATGCAAAAAATTGTTGTGTTGCATAAAAAATGCAATATTTAATTTTATATACTCTGAAAAGTTGTAAAATTTCTAGAACTTGTGCAAATAGTGCAAGTACCAATCTCAAGTTAATAGGGCCGGTCCTAGACAAGAAGGGGCCCAAGTGCCACCAAAAAAGAGGACCTGTAATAATATATAAACACGGACTTGTTTTTTTTTTTTGTTGTTGTTTGTTTTTTTGCGCACGTTTTTTTTCAATAAGAACCAATTACATTATGTAATTTTTTTTGTTAACAAAAAAAGTCAATTAAAGCATAAAAACTAAATGCTTTGTGTATTTTAAGATTACTTTTAAATGAATGAATAAAAAATTTCTTCTAGTTAGGGTTTTAGGCGCCCAGCGCAATACTGAAAATTGGCGCCCCCCTGAAGCAGACATAAAAAAACAACAACATGTTTTCAAGTATATATTAATTTTGTTTTAAAAAATGCAAATGCTAATCATAATGCAAACTTAATTTAACTCATGTTTTTAATTAAGTATCCATTATTGTTCATGTGAATTAGTCATTGAAAGTGACAGATGGTCAATCAGATCCAATAATCAATAACAATTAAAAAATTATAATTTGATCTTTCTAACTTTAACTGCAGCAAATTTATCTGTTATGTCGTCAAAGTTTGTTGATTCTAGATTTTATCTTTCGACACTAAGAATTGCCATATCAAAAAGACGTTGTTGCCCCATTGAAGCTCGTAGATATGAAAGAATAAGCTTCAACTTGCTGAAGGAACGTTAGCAACTGGCTATTGACACTGCAATTGTGAGAAAGATTTGTAATTCAATGCGTAAGTTTGGAAAAATGTCATCTCCCTATAACGAAATAAATGAAAGTAAATCTAGTGGAAATGATGATATTAAGCCCCCACGAGATTTAAACAGCATCTGACAGTCTGCGATTTCAGTAAATAATTCTGCTCCACTAATATCTGTACTGTAAAGATTTTCCAGATCCTAACATTGTTGCTGCAAATTTTCTTGATTTTCATCACCATTCTTTTTTTTACCAATATTCTCACTTTTTACACTCAAACGTCTAAAGCGAGTTGTTAGTTCTTGTTGGAAACGATACAATATCATTTTCAAAACTCTGCTAACTTCATCTTCAGCAGAGAGGCTACTATCTCCAGCCCATTCATCTGGCATTATTCGCTATCAGCTGATTTTTCTCTCAACTTAAATTCCCCATTCTATACATCTGCCCTTGCTATACTCAATTGCATTTTGACACAAATGAACACAAAATTCTTTGAGATAATTTTCCAACATTTCCATATTATATGCTGCATCTTTAAAGTTCATTGCGGATCTTGTAGTCGTTTGACTGTTAGTCAGTGAGCAGTTGTTGGCTGTGGATCTGAGTTGTGAAATTTATTTCTATTATTTTTTCCCTTTTTTGGCGCCCTCCCCCCTCAGAGTAGCGCCCGGGACAAATACCCCACCTGCTCATCCCCCCCCTCTCATTGCTACGCCTCTGAAGCTATTGAAATTTTAGTTCTAAAGTTAGGCAAAATTATTTTATATTATCGTTTATATAATATTTATTTATTTTTAATGTACAAAAGTATTGTCTCAATTGGTTACTTTGTCGCGAAAAATAAATAAAGCAACTACTTTGGGGCTGTCTGTAAATTACGTCAACAAAATTGGGGGGAGAGGATCTGAATGTTTTAAACATTTGTTGACAGGGGAAGCGGGGGAGGTCTAGACAAGTTGACATCAACAATGTTACTTTTTAAAAATAAATTTAGATACTTAAATATAAGGAAATTAGGCAGCGTTTGCAGTCCTGTAATACATAATTGCATAACCTTCTGTATTTTAATAAAGCTATTTATATCTCTACTTTTTAAAAACCGTGTTGTGCTTTAAAAAGACCCGACACGTACAGACTAAATAAGCTCACACGAGATATTTACACGTAACACTATTTTTTTTCAAAGTTGTTGTTGGTTAGCCAGCTATGCAAACAAAAAATTTATGCAAGTACTTGGTCTGTACTTTATTATATAAACGTTAGCATAAGGTCTGCACTATATTATTTAAACGTTTATATAGGGTCTGCACTATATTATTTAAACGTTTGTTTAAGTGGCCGGCAACCTGCGGGTGATGCGGCTTTTTTGCTCCACAAATAATAATATAATTTTGAAATGAAAATTTGGTAGATCTTTTTTGAAAAAAGATTTGAAATGAGGATGCTGAAAGCTCTTCAAAAATTTAGGTTTTTAAAGTACAACCAACATTTTTATTTCAATATTATATTAATATTTGTGCATAGAGCTAAAGAGGTGCACCTTGAGATTGAATAAAACCACACGAGGCTTGCAAGCTGCTGGTTGCCGACCCCTGGTATAAACGTTTAAGTAATATAATGTTGACTATGTACTTACATAAATCCTTTTAGTCTGCATTTCAGACTAAAACTTGGTAAATTGCAACTTATAGCTCTTTTGTCTCATTAGGTTGCCGACCCTTGGTTTATATAATTCGTTAAATGCTTTTTGTTATACTAAACTCTTAGAAATAATTGGGTTTTACTGTAAAATAAACTTAGTATTAAGTTAAAGTGGGGAGGATTGGAACATTGAAGTGTTGCATTAATTTGAAATTTGTTCATAATTTTAACGTGTAAGGTGTATACATTTTTGTGAACCCTTTTTTTTCCTTTTTCTTTGTTCGGAGAAAGTTTTTGGTAGTTATAAACTGGAAATATGTTCTTAAGTTAAAAGTTTAATAATTTTTTTTCTATACCTTTTACTTTTATTCACTTTTTTTTCATAGCATTTGTAATTTTTAATGGTTCTCTAAATATACTTTCAATTTCTTTTTCTATTAAAATTTACTTTCAATCTCTTTTGTGTTTTAGTTGTAAATTATTCTATTCAAATATTTTTTCCATTTTAGTTATTATTATTTTTTTCGGGGTTGGGGTAATTCAATGTTGACGTAAATTTTTAGGCGGGTCTCTGAGAGTTTGACAACTTGTTGACAACTTTTTTTCAACTCAAGCTTTCAACAAGAGCGGACGCACTTTTTACCTCGTGGCGGAAAAAAAAAAAAAAAACTTTTTATTTATTATAAATAAAGACGTATCTTTAATAAAAATTTTAACTTAATAATATGGCTGTAACACTTCCAGAAATAAAGAAACTTTTAAAAGAAATGTTCAAAGAATTTAAAAAGGAAACGGAAGAAATGTTTCAAAAGCAAGAAAAAGCAGTTCTCGATATTATTGGGGCTAACATCAAAATAATAAACGATAGATTTGAAAAAGTAGAGAAAAATGTTGATGGAAATGCAAATTGTATAAAGAAATTAACAAAAGAATTAGAAGATATAAAGGTAAGCCTTAACTTTAATGAAGGACTTATTGACGAAAAAATAGTTACTAACAACAAATATCTAGATAAAAAAATGGAACATACAAAAATAGATAATGTATTAAAAGAAAAACAACGAAACTTAGAAGATCGATCGCGCCGAAACAATCTTAGGATTGAAGAAATTTACGAGAATGATAAAGAATCATGGGGGGATACAGAAAAAAAAGTCCAAACATTCTTCACCGAAAAACTTGGACTAAAAGATGTTGAAATTGAAAGAGCTCACCGCACTGGACGAAAAAACGATGGACGACCAAGGGCTATAATATTAAATCTTCAGAAATATAAAGACAAAATAAGAATATTGAAGGAATTGTATCGACTCAAAGGCACAAATACGTTCGTGAACGAAGATTTTTCTCGAGAAACCGTCGCTATTCGAAAAAAATTGTTCGCTGAAGTGAAAGAAAGGCGATTGAATGGTGAAAGTGTTACGGTAAGGTATGACAAAATTGTTTATATTAAAACTTCTTTTAAAAACAATTTTAACGAATAATTTTATGGGCATTCCTAAAAAGAAATCTTAAATAAAATATATTAATCATGGCTACAAATGAAAACTTTGAATCTCGTGTTTTTAAAATTCAAAAAACAAATTACTCTACGTTAAATGAAAATTTAGACTCTGATTACAATATTTATCACAATAAATTTTCAGATTGTTCATATTACTTTCCTAGCCAACTAGAAGGGTTTCTTTTTAAGAATGAGAATGAAAGAAATAATAATCAAATGTTAATTCTCCACCTCAATATAAGAAGCTTAAATAGCAATTTTGAAAAACTTCTAGACTTATTAGAAGAAACTAAACATGTTTTTAATGTAATTTGTTTAACAGAAACTTGGATTTCTTTAGAAGACCTAAATAATTTTCATCTACCTCATTTTAATACATTTTTAATGGAAAGGAAAACAAATAAGCGCGGTGGTGGAGTTTTAATTTATGTTCACGAAAATTTTGAGCATTGTATTAGGCATGATTTGAGCGTTTCTGACTGCGATAAAGAAATTGCAACTATAGAAATTACTAACTGCAACAAAAAAAAAATTTTACTAAGCTGTTGTTATCGGCCACCTGATGGCGTAAGCGAAAACTTTAGCATGTTTTTACAACAAATTATTAAAAAAGGTACCGTTGAAAAAAAACAAAATTTTATAATTGGAGATTTAAACATGAATTGTTTTCTTTATAATGATAACCTTAAAGTTAAAAATTTTTATGATGAAATTTTTGAAACGGGATCAGTATCTTTAATAAACAAACCTACAAGAGTAACGACAAATTCAGCAACTCTAATAGATAATATAATAACTTTAGATATTTTCAACAATGATTTAAATATAGGTATTTTGCGAACCGATATATCAGATCATTT